AAATAAACATTAAAAAAAAATTTTTTTTTTTAATTAAAAAAAAAGAATCTAATACATCCTTTTGGCCATGCCAGGATGAATAAAATCAGAATTCTGTCCCAGTGTTGACACCTGAATCTTCCCTGTAGTTTCTGCAGCTTGCTTTGGAGGTGACTCTATTTTGATCCCATATCAGGTTGAATCTTGAACACGTTGGCTTATGTTCCACTTTGGGAAAAACACTGCCCAAACTGGACTCATCTTACATCGTCCCTGTATATACTCCATCCATCAGTGTTATCATATACCTATTACTGTAGGAACTTGAAGATATTAGGAAACTTGTCAAAAATCATGAGTTTTCAAAGCGGCAGGTAGGAGGAAGCTGCTGTGAAAAGCAGAAATAGCATAGGAACAGTCCCCCAGGTGGCCCTACCCTCTGTGCTGTGCAGACCTATTTCGTTCATTTGCCTGTCCTCCACACAGACTTGGATTTGTCTGGATAGTCCGGTATCTTTTAAAGAGGCAGGAATCTCTGGGTAAGTTAACCTTCATCGGCCACTCATATTCCCCTGTGGAATAACTTTTATCAGATTTCTTCCCCTTCAGACTACAGCTGAGATCAGCTGCTTGAGGTACTTTTGGCAGGGAGAAGCATTTGCCTTCGAAACATTGAAAGGTGGATCTCTGGTGAGGTGCGGAAGTTTAGAATTTGTGAGTTCTGAGGGCACGGGTCACATGGAGAAGAGAGGACTAGGACGTGAGGAGGGCGCATGAGGAAGGTGGCATAAGACAGGCCCCTTCTTGGGCCGTATAAAGATTTTGCCCGCAGCCGGCTGTGCTCCTCCCCCATCCCAGGGACTCATGATGTTAGCAAGGATCCAGTGCCCGCTACGACCAGGGCACTGCACGAGATGGAGGCTGACGATGCCAGTATTGCAATTCAGGTATCAGGTTTACTGTGGGTTAAATCGGCTTTTGCAGGGTAGCCTGAGATCCTGATTCTGACTATAGTCAGAAGACTATATATATAACCCTTCTGACTAATGTTATAGTCAGAAGGGTGTTGTGTGCTGTTCATACTACTTT